AAGACTGACTTATGTAAAACTTGATTGCAATAAATGACGTGAAATGAAGTTCGGACTGTCATTTTCGTGTCATTTACTCTTAATTGTACCATCTACTTACCTCTGATTCAATTGAATCGAATTATGATGTAATGTCTGAGACATTTCATTGTTCATAACCGGTGTGGGTCGTTTTCAAAGTCTTCCCACCTCTTATGGAGACCTATCTTAAGACGTCATTTTGATGTGCCAAAGGTTTTATCTGGGGTTCCTGTTTGTTCGGTTTCCCGCTCTTTAGATCACATGACACTCGTGACTCTATGTGCATCGACTGTGTCACTTTTAACCGTTTGTAGTATGCAAAACACCGTTAGGGCCTTTATTTATTTGAATTATACTAAATTCTGTTCAAAAAAACCTATACTTTCTCATGTTGTGCCTTTCTAGCCTTTGTTTGTATGTTGTCGACTCACCTTTAATACTTGTCTACTTCTCTTCTGATATTCCTATCATCATTTGCAAAATTAATTATTAACCGGGCGAAACGTTTTGTAAAAGACTGCTATTTCAATAAAGTTTTTGTTTAAAATTTATTAACTTCACCTGCGTGCGTGTGCGTGTGTGCGGTCTCACAAAGTTCCAATGTTCCCTTTAGGTATTTTTTTATATATTACCACGAAATTCGTTCTTACGATTTGAATTCATTCCCCCAAAATATCAAAACACAATATTTTGATTCCTCGACAGTTCATTGTACCAAAGGATATAAGATAAAATGTTGTTTATAAGCTTTCGCTATGCGACCTTTTGGGCGACTTTAAAGTTACAGTTCTGATTTTGGTAAATAGTTTCGTTGCCCTCATCGTATTTAAACAGAGGCATCTTACGAAATTCTTTAAAACTAAAATATTGGTTGAAAATCATCCTTAAACAGCAAAAATATAAAATATATTTAAGTTCACACGGCAACCAGGTGGACAATCAGACATAGTTTGAAGCTACACTGGTTTGCAGATTTAATGAATGTAACCGAAGAAGTTACAATTCATAGACCCAACGTTTCGACACTCCTGTCTAGTGCCTTCATCAGGGGTGATCTAGACGCTGCAACAAGAGGTCCTTTTATATGATCACTAATTAGCGGCCTTTTTTCTGACGAGGTGTAAATAGGCGTCAGGAAGCAGACCGCCATCGTCACGATTTAAAGGAGCGTGGGCGGAGTTAATGTGCCAAGCCTCCAAACAAAGGCGCTGGTGGTAACGCCGATTAGTAGTGATAATTTTAGAATTATCCCACCCAATTGTATGGTTGGTTAGGCAAGTGTGCTCCGATAAAGCTGAATTTTCCTTTTTGCAAAGAAAAACCGCTTTTTGGTGCTCTTTTAACCGTGTACCAAACTGGCGTTTGGTCTGTCCGATGTATTCGTTATCACAGTCATTGCAAGGAATAGAATAAATGGCGTCGGTTCGTTGTTCTTTCGTGACAGGATCCTTAGGTTTGGCGAAAATATGCCCCAAAGTCTGAAAAGGTTTTTGAGCAACTTTAACGTTGTGGCTATTCAAAATTCTCTTGATGGGTTCAGTAACACCCTGTATGTAAGGAATAACAGCAAAACCAGTCGCTGGTTCCCTTTCATCAAAAGCGTTACTATTTGTAACTGGTTTTTGGCAGTTACGGAGAAAAGTTTTTGTATAGCCATTTGCCTTTAGGACATTGGAAACATATTTCCTCTCCTCAGCCTTCGAATCGAGTGATGATGGTAGACAATCAGCCCTCCTAAGTAAAGTTTTGGCTACAGACTTTTTATGGCAAATAGGATGGTGAGAATCGAAAGCGAGGTATTTGTCGGTGTGGGTGGGTTTACGGTAGACACTTGTCTCTAAATTACCCTGAACCCCTCTAGACACATTTAAATCAAGAAAGGGCAAATGTCTATCCTTTTCGCGTTCAAGGGTGAATTGGATCGACGGCTCTACTGAATTCAAATGCGACAAGAGGCGCTCCGCTTCATTTCCGGATACCGCAGAAATAACATCATCGACATATCGTTTCCAGAAAAAGGGTTTAACCGGTGAAGTGGCTAAGGCCCTTTGTTCCACGTCTTCCATTACCATGTTAGCAATGACAGCAGAAACAGGCGAACCCATAGCTGTACCAAAAACTTGTTGATAGTATGTGCCGTTATATGTAAATTGCGTGGTTTTGAGGCAAAAAGACAGCAGATGAATAATATCATCCACAGGCAAAGAAGTTCTTTGTCCTAGGGAAGCATCTTCTCTGAGTCTTTCCTCGCAACCTTAACGGCAAGAAAAGTATGGTCAAACTGTTGTTACAAGGGTCAACCGGCTCACTAACATCAGAGTCCGCATTGCTAAGTATCGCTGTCATTTGTATTTCAATCACCGTTGCAAAGAGAACCATGTGCTTCCATCGAGTTTGAGATTTCGGCCTCCTTTACGGAGTGCTAAAGGATACAAGCTCATGGTCCGTACTGGTTTTTCTTTTCTCAAGCTACGAATAAATGAATGTCACAGTTCCATACTGCGGTTACGTACGTTATTCTCTCGTTCACTCAGTGAACTCTCTGCTTTGATTAACAACTCCGAAACTTCCTGGGTCGAGGAGTTTTGCATTTCGAAAGAACTGCAGACGTTTACCAAACAGAGAGAGAAACATGACAGAAAACTCCGTCACTTGCTCAGTAAGAGGTCTCCTGTTAATTCAGGCTCATCTCTGAAAGATAAATGGGTCATGAACCTTTCCTCCAAGGAATTATCCGCGCTGGAACGGAGTGGTTTAGAGAAGGGTCTAAAGTTTGCTATTGCTCCTCGCAAAATACCGACCGCCGAAATTGTCGCCGCTGTTGAGGAGAGTATCTCTCAACTCGACGACGATCGTAGGCATTTGGTAAGAGCAGAAGTAAGTAGCGTACTCAGGCGTGCTAAACCTCCTCCCAAAAACATTCAAAAGGATGTTTTCAATGCGCTTATAACTCTCAAAAAGGATCCGGACAGGCTCGTATTATCTGCTGACAAGGGTAATTGTGTTGTGGTTATGGACAAACAGCAATATCACGACAAAGCTTTGTCTCCGCTCAATGACAAGAGTACGTATGCTGTCTTAAACTCTGATCCAACCAGTAAAACTCAAAGAAAGTTAAACAAAATGTTGCTTGATTTGAAAAAAGCTGGCAGAATTAGTGACTCTACGTACAAAATGTTATACAGTAGTGACGGCTTATGTCCACGTTTTTATGGCTTACCTAAAATTCATAAACCGGGAATTCCTTTGAGACCCATTGTCTCTTTTGTTAATTCTCCGACTTATGCAATTTCTGGTTATCTTGCGAGAATTTTGTCGCCCGTTGTTGGGAATACTGATTACACTGTCAAAAATTCCTGCGAATTTACGGATTTCATAAGAGATAAAACTCTTGACGCTTGTTGAAGAATTAGTATCTTTCGACGTTGTTTCGCTCTTCACTAAAATCCCAGTTGATCTTGCCGTTAAGGTTGCGGAGGAAAGACTCAGAGAAGATGCTTCCCTAGGACAAAGAACTTCTTTGCCTGTGGATGATATTATTCATCTGCTGTCTTTTTGCCTCAAAACCACGCAATTTACATATAACGGCACATACTATCAACAAGTTTTTGGTACAGCTATGGGTTCGCCTGTTTCTGCTGTCATTGCTAACATGGTAATGGAAGACGTGGAACAAAGGGCCTTAGCCACTTCACCGGTTAAACCCTTTTTCTGGAAACGATATGTCGATGATGTTATTTCTGCGGTATCCGGAAATGAAGCGGAGCGCCTCTTGTCGCATTTGAATTCAGTAGAGCCGTCGATCCAATTCACCCTTGAACGTGAAAAGGATAGACATTTGCCCTTTCTTGATTTAAATGTGTCTAGAGGGGTTCAGGGTAATTTAGAGACAAGTGTCTACCGTAAACCCACCCACACCGACAAATACCTCGCTTTCGATTCTCACCATCCTATTTGCCATAAAAAGTCTGTAGCCAAAACTTTACTTAGGAGGGCTGATTGTCTACCATCATCACTCGATTCGAAGGCTGAGGAGAGGAAATATGTTTCCAATGTCCTAAAGGCAAATGGCTATACAAAAACTTTTCTCCGTAACTGCCAAAAACCAGTTACAAATAGTAACGCTTTTGATGAAAGGGAACCAGCGACTGGTTTTGCTGTTATTCCTTACATACAGGGTGTTACTGAACCCATCAAGAGAATTTTGAATAGCCACAACGTTAAAGTTGCTCAAAAACCTTTTCAGACTTTGGGGCATATTTTCGCCAAACCTAAGGATCCTGTCACGAAAGAACAACGAACCGACGCCATTTATTCTATTCCTTGCAATGACTGTGATAACGAATACATCGGACAGACCAAACGCCAGTTTGGTACACGGTTAAAAGAGCACCAAAAAGCGGTTTTTCTTTGCAAAAAGGAAAATTCAGCTTTATCGGAGCACACTTGCCTAACCAATCATACAATTGGGTGGGATAATTCTAAAATTATCACTACTAATCGGCGTTACCACCATCGCCTTTGTTTGGAGGCTTGGCACATTAACTCCGCCCACGCTCCTTTAAATCGTGACGATGGCGGTCTGCTTCCTGACGCCTATTTACACCTCGTCAGAAAAAAGGCCGCTAATTAGTGATCATATAAAAGGACCTCTTGTTGCAGCGTTTAGATCACCCCTGATGAAGGCACTAGACAGGAGTGTCGAAACGTTGGGTCTATGAATTGTAACTTCTTCGGTTACATTCATTAAATCTGCAAACCAGTGTAGCTTCAAGCAAAAATATAGTTGTTCAAAAACATGAATAAATTTTTAAAAATGTTATTGTTTGATTTAAATATTGCCCTATCATGCCGGTTAAAGCATTTGAATCAATCAACATGATGTCTTTTTATTTTCACTGGGGTTCTGTGTTAATAATTAATGAAAAAGAGCTAAAACCCTCCAGATCACTATAATTGGCAACATTTCTTGCGAAAACATGTACGCAACACTCCTCACTTCCTTGGTAATTACTTTAGCAAACGGAGAAAGTCGATTGACAACATCCAACTACAAAGCTATTAACTTTGCCAGAGAAATAAGAGGACGACGGCTTCACGGAAGGGTTATCAAGGAAATTGAAGTGGATTCTGAGAGTTCTTGTCGACTGCTTTGCGTGGAGGAAAGTTCATGCCTGTCATACAACTTTGGACCCGGTGAAAACAAGAAGATGTTTAAATGTCAACTAAGCGACTCTGATCGCTTTGCTAGCTTCAACAATTTTACCGATGACGACACATTTCTCTACCGAGGAGTGAAGGTAAGAAACTTTAGATATAATTTTTCCAGAATGCAGCGGGCAAGCATTATATTGCCTATATGATAAATTTTGTGTAAGTGTATGCTGACAATAAATGTCAACTAAGCGACTCTGGTCGGTTTACTGGACTGAGCAATTCCACTGAAGGCCCCCATTTTCGACTCTTTTACTTAATTCCAAGTGGTATTATATATGATTGAAGGAACGATGCAGATGTTTATATATTGTATTTGGTAATGGTAAAGAAGTACAATTTTAAAATTACTGTAGAACTTTTCTTATCATCCTCTGATTTTGAAAGGGTAAGATTTAAACTTTAACTTCTCATTGGGCCTGTAAACTTGATGGCTCAGAAACGAGATGTAATCCAGTGTATTTTTATCTTGAAGCACCTGTTTCGATTTGAAAATGAATGTGATTATTCGTTTTTGGCTAAGAACAGAAAACGTTACTCTACGCCTTTGAGGGACATTTTAAATTAGTAATGAGTACTGATGACTGACGCATTTTATCTTCCTAATATACTGTTTTCAAAAAATGCCATCAATGAAAAACTATATTTAAATTGAAATGCTTGCTTCTCTTGTTATAGATAATAGCTGTAAGATAAATTTCTAGAAGTCTTAGTGATGTTGACACGCATACCATGGAACTTTTTCAGAACAATTCGGTTACACTTGGTCGCCTTTAATCATCCGAGACTACTAGAACGTCTAATCATTCGGAGATTTCATAGCAAAGGCAGCACATTTCCCTCAGTTATTTAAAAACCCTGAGAGTTAGTCTAGCCAGTTAACTTAGCGTTGGCCGTTCTGGAAGCTAATGATTCCATCTGAGAAAATAAAACAGGTGTAATTTTAAAAGTCTATCAATCAATCAATTCACAGGATATCTTTACTTTGATAACAGTAATCAGGTGCTTTTGTTTTAACAGAGCCATTGTGAGGTCAGCTCTTTCCTTTGTGCAGAAAACGAGATCTGTGTTCCCAACTATATAGACAACACTGCAGAATGCAAATGTCGTTATGCTTCTGGATATACTGGAAAACCATGCGGTGAGTATCATGTCTAACGCTTTCACTAGGTTGCCACTTTATATTGACTGAGTGCTTAAGTATCCCCATTTAGATCAAGTAAAATAACTCAGTACAGCTTATCCACTCTAGTCAATTGATGAATTTGAGCTTTATTAATTATTTCTTTTTGTTACAAAACCAGAAGCAAAAAGCTGCGCCCAACTACTAAAAGATGGTTTCACTTCCAATGGCGTGTACACCATCAATCCAGATGGCGGTAAGCCAATACCAGTGTTGTGTGACATGACCACTGACGGTGGAGGTTGGACCGTTTTCCAGAGACGTTTGGACGGCTCTGTTGACTTCTATCGTGACTGGAAAGCTTACAAAGAGGGGTTCGGAAGTTTGAGCGGCGAGTTCTGGCTTGGAAACGACAATCTTCATCGTTTGACGGATGCTAATGAAGTCATGTTGAGAGTTGACTTGGAGGACTTTGAGGAGAACATCACAAACGCCGAGTACAATACATTTAAGGTGGCAGACGAGGCTGATAAGTACAGACTCACTCTCGGAGAATACAATGGCACAGCGGGAGATTCCTTCATGTTTCATAGGTATCGTAAATATTCAAGAAATACATTGGTGTTGAATGTGTTACGTTTTCTCTTTGTTTTGGGCCGAATCAATGATCAACCAAAAACGTTTTCTTAACTCCGTCTTATCTTCTCTCTTGATATTCTTCAAGTTAAAAGTGAAGTCGCCTCTGAGACTGAAAGTCATAGGAATCGTGGAGGCATTGGGCAGAATGCCTATTGTTCTCGCGACATTTACTTGCAGTGGCGAAAATATTATAGATCTGATGCGTTTTTTTTGGAAATGAGAACACAATTTAAGCACTTACTGAGAACTGATTGTTCTGAGACAGAAAGTGGTAAATTTTCTGGAATGCTTATCACAGTTTTGAGGCTTGCAGGCGATGAGTCGCTAGTATTTTGAGGACTGCTAAGTCGGTCGAGCTTTTGGGACTTAATTTGGTGCAAATGGTTAAATAGTTCAGTTCTTTTCTAAGTTGTATGAGAGCATGTCTTTCCTCAATGGCTAAACAGAAATGAAACAAGGCAACATAAATTTTATTCTTATTCCAGCCATATGCAGTTTTCCACGAAAGATCAAGATAATGATCTACATTCTGCAAGCTGTGCCCAGCTCTTCAAAGGGGCCTGGTGGTACAAAAGCTGCCATGCGTCCAATCTAAACGGATTGTATTTGAATGGCCAACATGCCTCTTATTCTGATGGAGTCAACTGGAACACGTTTAGAGGCTTTCACTACTCAATAAAACGCACTGAAATGAAAGTAAAAACCAAGGGATAAGATGGTTTCTATCTTGGGGTAACAAAACATGATTCCAAGTATGACGACATCAAATAAGCTTTTTTTAATAGCTTCAATAGGATCAATCCAGACCGACTTATAGCAATGGCAAAGCATATCGTTAGAAGCAGCCATAATATGCTCATTTATCGTCAATAATTCCTGTAGTTAGTATGAGTTTTTTATCGTGAACCTGGCCCCGATTGTTCGAAGGGTGGATAACATTATCCACTGGATAAATCTCTATCCGGTGGATACCGCAATACGTTTTAGCGATTTATCCGTTGGATAGCGTTATCCGCCCTGTGAATAACTAAGCCTGGTCTATTCGTGGTTTAACTCAAGTGTTTGTCCATGTCGCCATTATTAGATTAACCTTTAGTTTGCTCGTATTTTTATATTTGCAAATGCTCATTTCCTTGGTTGGGCGCTGATGTGGGTTTGAGTGTGGCGTTGGCAAGTTTCCCTTAAGTGCTTCTTGTTACTTTCACTTATATTTCGTATTCGTATTTCTTCGGGGACCTTAATTCGTGGATTTATTTATTTCATCTATTTACTTGATGTTTGCCACCGAATTAGATTTTTAAAGAAAGCATCAATTTGTGGATAGGCTTAAACTCACGCACAAGTCTTAAGGGAGAAAATCTTAAATGTGCAAGTTTTTATAAAGAGAGACAACGAAGATAGACAGGGAGCAGACATCAAATTCAAATTTAGTTGAATCTTCAGCGACAAGTCGGGGGGGGGGAGGGACTGGGGACTCCAGACTTCCCCCCCCCCTCCCCCCTTCCACATCAAACCCTTGAGTAAGTTTATTACATGTCTTTGACCAAAATTCATTCAACGAGGGAATTGCATATTACTACTACTCAACCAGAAGTATTAAGAATTAAAATTTCTTAAAATACGTGCTAAGTTATTTGGGCTCCAGTTTAGACAAGACTCTGTGTTTTGTAACCCACCCAATCAAAAAATTTCTGGATCCACTTTGTATATTTTAAGCCCACAGGATTTTTGTTTACCATTGGAGCGGGGATCAACTCCGCCTCCCTCCTCTCCAGCCCTCCCCTGAAGATATATTGTTGATTTTGCTTTAATCTCGTTTATTTTTCAGTTTTTACTGCTGTATGTAAAGCTGTATGTCTACATTCTTGATTCAAAATTATTGTATAAGCAATGTTTAATAAACTTCAAATACGAACTTTAACGTTGAAACCTAAATTTAATTGTAAGATGAAATCTGGAAAGACTGAAAACATATGATATGACAATAATTCTTCAGTCTTTTACCCTTTTCGCATCTAAACAATTGGTCGAAGATTCTGAAATGTCCTCCAACACATCATTTCTTGTCGTTTTATCATGACCGAACAACCTGCATTTAAATCCGCCCAGAGATCTCTTCATAGTGCTTTCTTATGTTGATCATTATTTTGCATTACTGGCTGTCGAAATAACTAAGCTGCATAAATAAGATCTGATTAGTGAGAAAAATAACTCAGTAACTGGTTCGGCACTAACTTGTTTTCTAAATTTTGTTAAAGAAGGTGATGTAACTGGAGGCAACGAACGTTTACGAGAACATTAGAGTCAGCCTGTGAGCAGCACACCCCAGTTATTAGGGAAGGAAGCGGTTTTCTCCATCCGCGGGAAGATTTGAGACGAGTCGGGAGAGGTTTGGTAAGGGTCTGGAACCAATAGTTAGTGCGAGACCCTCTCGCTGACTCGCATTGCTCAAGGGGTCATACTGTCCCGCGGGCGAAGAATGCTCTTATAAAGAGGACCTGATCACAGGCTGTTAGAGTCAAAACACTAAAATTAAATCAAAGTTATCTTAAGGTCCGTGTCTCTCTTTCCGTAAAAACCTAAAAATAAAACTCACTTAATACAGGCACAAAAAATACAATAAAAACACTAAAACTAAGAACATACAATTGCAATTACCAAAACGTCTTATTGTGAGCTGCCAACGCCGGCTGTAGGAACACTTTTGATTTCACACAATGACTCTGCAATAACAAGTTTTATTTACTTGATTGTTTTTTTTTTTTTTTTTCTATCTATCTATATTTTTTCTCTATCCATTGAAATTAACAGCGCTGATGTGACAAATGTACATATTTTTTTTAAAGAAACCTTTTAACTGAAATGTTTCTTGAATTCTTCCTCATCCTTCACTACCCCAACTCTTTCTGTAAAAAAATACTTATGGGGGAACTTCGACAAAAATAGAATGAAATAAAGAAAAGTTTGTTCAGAGTATCAAGACCTGCCTTCTAAACTATATCTTCCGATAAGTAGTTCATTCCCTGACAGTACGTGAGAATTATAAGTTGTTGTGGTAATCTGTTTAGAGGGTGATATTTAAGTGGCGATCTCTGTAAGAGCGGTCCAGGGCATTTCGCATCGGAACAAAGTTTTCCCTCAAACTTTGCCCAATAATCTATCTTTGGTAGCAAGTAAATAAAACCATATTAGTTTCTGGAAATACGTTATAATAAAATTTTTTGACCCCTTGCGACATCGAAAACTTCAAAAGTTGAATAGCTCGGTCCTCGTATCACACCGCATGCAGCAAAAAATCATTTGTATTTTTAAACTGTGTGGTATATCAGGTGTATAAAAAGCATTTCAATTTTGATATTCGTTTTTTCAGAGGTTCGTCATAATTTATTTAAAAACACTCGTTAGACAGCATTCTGAAATTGGTCAAAAGTACTCTTTCTTTCTCGGTTGATATTACTCAAGTACAGACCAGACAATTGAAAACTCCGCTTGACTTCTTCTAATAAGTTGTTTGGCTGTAGAAAAATATAAAAACATCGTGCACTTATTAATTTTCAAAGAAGAAAGAAATCACAGCTCTTTATTTAAAGAAATATAAGGTTTACAAAACTTCATGTCCTGCAAATAGCTACAATGCTAATCTAGGCAGGACAAGACTTTAACTAAAGGCGTTATTAAATTACATAAGAAAAAAGAAAAGAAGAAATACAAAAACATACAGAAAGAAACACCTTACATATAAATTCAAGTACAAGGGATTTTGTTATTTGAAAAAGACTAAAATTACAACTAGAGGTATATACAATATATCAGGTTAACTTCACAAAATATTCTATTAAAAAATTAACATTCAAATAATTATCTTCATTACCTAGAACATTAAGGAGTAGTGACGAAAATTAGAAACGTTGAGAGTCTTAACAGAAAGTGGAATAGAATTCCAAATAGACACACCGATTCTAGTAAAAGATTTTTTCATTTTTTCAGTTCTAGAGAATTTGACAGAGAAGCATTCTTTTGCAGATAATCGCGTATTATAATGATGTTCTGTATTGATTTTCGCAAACTTATCGAGAAGACTTTTAGGAGCTGTCTTAGCATGAACGTCATACATTAAATAGCTTAACTGTTGAAAGAACAAAGACTGCAAAGGAAGGCAGTTTGATTCAATAAAAAAAAGGGATCGCATGGTCTCTGGGTTTAGAAAAATAAATCAAACGCAGAGCACGTTTTTGCAGAACAAGTATCTTATTGAGGTAGGTCTGTGGACAGTTGCCCCATGCACAGATACCATAATTTAAATAAGGAGAAATAAGTGCATGATATAAATTCAAAAGAAGACGCCGTGGAATGTAATGCCTCATTTTAGCAATTATTCCAACCGATCTACTAATTTTGTGACAGATAAAGTCAATATGATGCTTCCATGATAGTTCAGAATCAATCATTATACCCAAATATTTAACAAAGTCCTTCATCTCTAGAGTTACTCTAGTATTTAAAGTTGGATTAAAAATCTTAATTTGAGGAATGAAAGGCATTCTTTTTTGGTGGGGACGAAAAATGACATAATTAGACTTTTTGACGTTGAGCGTTAGTTTGTTAGCATTAAGCCATTCGCTTACTTTCTCAAGTTCATTATTGACAGTTAGTTCAAGAGTACGTAAGTTGTCATTTGCATAAGTTAGACTTGTATCGTCTGCGAAAAGATAAAAAGTAAATTCCTTGGAAGATTTATGGATGTCATTAATATATAACAAAAATAACAAGGGTCCAAGTATAGAGCCTTGAGGTACTCCACATACGATCGTTTCAGTTTCAGATATGCATTTGTCTATTTCAATGTCGGCGATCTGAAAGATATGATCTAAACCAAGAATTTATAACTCCTCTTATTCCATAGTGTTCAAGTTTTGTCAAAAGAATCTCATGGTTAACAGTATCAAATGCTTTCTTAAGATCTATAAAAATTCCACATGAGTACTTTCTATTGTCCATATTAGAATGTATGGTGTTCACAATATCAAGAATCGCGTGCTGGGCACTATGTTTATTGCGAAAGCCATATTGTAAATCATAAAGAATATCATTCTTGTCTATAAACTTTATCAGTCTATGATATAAAATTTTCTCAAATAAACGATTATAAATTGATAACAAAGAAATTGGCCGATAGTTTTCAGGTAACGTCTCGTCTTCACCCTTTTCCCCAGTGTGGTGACTTCAAACTTTTAGCAATTTTGCTAGCGTGACAGCCGATTATGCAAATTAGTTCAATGAGCAAACTCCGACCGTTTTATATAAGTAGCTCAATAAATCTAAGATTTTAAAGTTATGAACAGAGACTGCTATGCAGACAGGTGTGACGACTAAATATCATTTGTTCCTGTCAGCTAGAAATCCGAGCAATCGCTGCTTTATTTAGACGTCAGTGTTATTCATGACAATTATACGATGGAATTACGTGACAGAGTCATTGGTCACGGTGTATTTTAGTATGTACTGTTATCGCCGGTTACACTATCCAGTAGTTTGGTTCTGAAATGTTCATACAGGTTTGAATAGCGTAAGCTGTCAGAACTCAAATATGAAATAGCAGGAGCCAAATTTTTTAAAACGAGTTTGCTATTAAAATGTTGAGCGAGCGCTAATCAAATTATGATATTCGATGCATTGTTGTTGACGTCTTTTGTCACGAGATAGTAAAATTTGTC